CTCCAGTGTGGATGAGTTGGTGTCTTTTTAAGCTTCGAGACTCAGTAAACGACTTTCCACAGTCTCCACAGCTGAACGGTCTCTCTCCAGTGTGAATGACCTGATGCATTTTTAGGGAAGCTTTAACGGTAAAATCCTTCCCACACTCGTCACAGCTGTATTTTGTCTCTCCCTTTCTTCTGTGAGGTTTGTCGGCCTCCTGAGAGCGCTGACTTCTTGGTCCACGTTGGTCCTGCAGTGACAGAGATACAAACAGAGGCAGTGAGTGAAATGCAGTCGTGGAACAACCTGAACTCCCTCCATTAACCCTTTATGGGTGGTCCGAGTGTGCTATAGAGATTATCTATAGCACATTTGGACACACACACACACACACACACACACACACACACACACCTGTGTTGAGCTCATTGTTTCCTCTGTAGTGACTCAGCTGAGTCCAGATGGCTGAAAATGTTCCTCTGCTGCTCCGTCAGACTCTTCTCCTCCTGCTGATCAGCTGGGACACAAAACAGATCTTTGTTAGGCTCCACACTGCACTGAAGAGTCAAAGTGTCTCATATGTTCATCTGACAACACAAAGTACAAATTTCACTCTGATTGCTTGTAGAAATCTTGTGAGACGTGTTGTGCTGCAAAGTGAGGAAACTCTCTCACTCACTTATACTTCAGGAAGAACTTTGTGACAGTGGCTCTAATATTCTAAGCAGCCCTTTACTATGACAGGGCCAGAAAGTCCTATTTGAAGGTTTGGGAGAAGGACCATGTTAAAGGTGGATTGGGGTTTATACACTTTGTTATGATACAGGTAAGGCTGTAAGAGCCTGAGAAGGTGTCCTGAATGAAGCTCTAAAACCAGTTTTCAGCTAACGACTCTGCTTCAGTCTGGAAAACAGCAACTACAAGTTTAAAGACTCCATCAACAATTCACACCCAGCAACAGCCTGAACAGCTCCTCCTGTGGTTTCCACAAACAGGGACAGACCTCTTACTCCCCCACCCCACACTTTCAACTCCTTCAGGCCCCCAGCTCCACCTACATAATGACTGCAACTAGCACCACTGAAGGAACAATGGGCTGGGAGGTCAGTTCCTTGACCGTTAATATGCAAATTCTCATGACCATGTGATTGCAGCCATTCCCCAAACTCTTCGTGAAAGGTACTCATGACCATTGATCAATGAGCTTCTATCAGTGAAAAGACTTTTCTACTCCAACTTTCTGCCAGCAAATGCTCAACTTCTCCCAGCGTGCTGAGCCAATGATTAGTTGTTTTTCTTTTGCTAATTAAAAAAAAGAAAACCACTTCCTGTCATGTGTTCATCCAGAGCAGCTGGACAATAAAGTTTATTGTGATCCTGATAGTGCAGCAGATCGCTCTCCAAGTTCCAAGTTCAACTTTATTGTTTATCAGTCAGTCCCTTTTTGCTGAGGAGACGGATGGCTTGTGGAAAAAAGCTGTTGCACAGTCTGGATGTGTGTGCCCGAATGCTTCGGTACCTTTTTCCAGATGGCAGGAGTGTAAAGAGTGTGTGAGAGGGGTGTGTCCGATCAGCCACAATGCTGGTGGCTTTGCGAATGCAGCGTGTGGTGTAGATGTCCTCAATAGAGGGTAGAGAGACCCCGATGATCTTCTCTGCTGTTCCCACTATCCGCTGTAGGGTCTTGCGGTCTGATATGGCACAGCTCCCAAACCAGACAGTGATGCAGCTGCTCAGGATGCTCTCAATAGTTCCTCTATAGAAGGTGGTCAGGATCGGTGGTGGAAGCCGGGCCTTTCTCAGTCTTCTCAGAAAGAAGAGACGCTGTTGGGCTTTCTTGTGCAGGGAGCTGGTGTTGAGGGACCAGCCGAGGTCCTTCTCCAGGTGTACACCCAGGAATTTGGTGCTGTCAACGATCTCCACAGAGGAGCCGTTGATGCTCAGCAGTGAGTGGTCGCCTCGTGTCCTCCTAAAGTCAACAACCATCTCTTTTGTCTTGTCAACATTCAGAGACAGGTTGTTGTCCTTACACCAGTCCGTTAGTCTCTGCACTTCCTCTCTGTACGCTGACTCGTCGTTCTTGCTAATGAGACCCACCACGGTCGTGTCATCAGCGAACTTAATGATGTGATTTGAACTGTGTGTTGCTACACAGTCATGAGTCAGCAGTGTGAACAGCAGAGGACTGAGTACACAGCCTTGTGGGGCCCCAGTGCTCAGTGTGGTGGTGCTGGAGGTGCAGTTCCCGATCCGTACTGACTGAGGCCTTCCGGTCAGAAAGTCCAGGATCCAGTTGCAGAGGGAGGTGTTCAGGCCTAACAGGCTCAGCTTTCCGATCAGTTGTTGGGGGATGATCGTGTTAAATGCTGAGCTGAAATCTATGTACAGCATTCGGACGTGTGAGTCCTTCTTGTCCAAGTGTGTCAGGGCAAGATGGAGTGCAGTGGAGATGGCGTCGTCCGTTGAGCGGTTATGGCGGTATGCAAATTGCATTGGGTCCAGTGAGGGGGGCAGCAGGGTCTTGATGTGTCTCATGACGAGCCGTTTGAAGCACTTCATGATGGTGGGTGTAAGTGCGATAGGGCGGTAGTCATTGAGACAGGACACAGAAGACTTCTTGGGCACGGGGACGATGGTGGTGGCCTTGAAGCACGTGGGGACAACGGCACTGCTCAGAGAGATGTTGAAGATGTCGGTGAGAACATTTGCCAGCTGATCAGCACATTCTGAGCACTCTGCCTGGGATGTTGTCTGGTCCAGCAGCTTTACGTGGATTGACTCTGCGTAGAGTTTTCCTCACCTCAGCTGTAGTGAGACACAGGACCTGGTCGTTCGGAGGAGGGGTGGTCTTCCTCGCCGCCACGTCGTTCTGCCTGTCGAACCGAGCATAGAAGTTGTTAAGCACATCTGGGAGGGAGCCGTCACTGTCACAGGCAGGTGGTGTCGTCCTGTAGTTAGCGATGGCTTGTAAGCCCTGCCACATGCGTCGTGTGTCGCCGCTGTCCTTAAAGTGGTTGTGGATTCTCTGGGCGTGTGCGCGCTTCGCCTCTCTGATGGCCCGAGAAAGTTCAGCCCTCGCTCTTCTAAGCGCCACCTTATCTCCCTCTTTGAAGGCAGAGTCTCGGGTCCTTAGAAGTGCACGCACTTCCGCAGTAATCCACGGTTTCTGGTTGGGTCGTGAGATGATGATCTTGGAGACAGTGACGTCATCGGTGCACTTGTTGATATAGCTGGACACTGATGATGTGTACTCCTCCAAGTCAGTGAAGTCGCCGTAAGTTGCAGCCTCTCTAAACATGTTCCAGTCAGTGCTCTCAAAACAGTCCTGAAGAGCAGAGATGGTTCCTGCTGGCCAGGTTTTCACCTGCTTCAGAACCGGTTTTGATCGCCTGACGAGTGGTCTGTATGCTGGAATTAGCATAACAGAGATGTGGTCTGAGTAGCCAAGGTGGGGGCGGGGCTCTGCCCGATATGCGCCGGGGATGTTTGTGTAAACAAGATCCAGCGTGTTTTCTCCCCTCGTTGCAAAGTCCACATACTGATGGAATCTAGGAAGCACTGACTTGAGATTTGCATGGTTGAAGTCCCCAGCAACAATAAACAGTCCATCCGGGTGTGTATTTTGCAGTTCACTGATCTTTGTATACAATTCCCATAGCGCTTCCTTAGCATTAGCGCTAGGTGGAATGTACACTCCGATAATGAAAACAGTGGTGAATTCCCGTGGTAAGTAAAAAGGTCTGCATCTAACAGTCACAAACTCCACCAGGGATGAGCAATAACTAGAGACTAGCACAGAGTTCTTGCACCATTTCTCGTTGATGTAAACACACAAGCCGCCACCGCGAGTCTTACCGCACAGAGCTGCATTTCTGTCGGCGCGAAACGAGGCCAGCCCGTTTAGCTGAATAGCGGCGTCCGGTACTCTTTCGCTGAGCCATGTTTCCGTGAAAACAAAGACACAGCAGTCTCTAATCTCACGCTGTGTGGCCTGCTGGAGTCGGATGTAATCCAGTTTGTTATCCAGGGAGCAGACGTTGGATAAGATGATGGACGGTAGAGCCGGCCGGCAAGGGTTTGTTTTTAGCCTAGCACAGACTCCCGCCCGCTTGCCGCGCTTCCGCTTCCTCGCGCAACGCTTCCGATGTCTCCACCTCCGTCCGCCGGCATCAGGCAACGCCGAGGCTTCGAGGCCTGGTTCGCGGAGCAAGCCGAGTTCACGCAGCGTTTCCCGCAGCCCCTCCTGGATGTCGTCAACTAGGTTATTTAGGTTGAAAAGTGTCTGGCTGTTGTATGCACGAACACCGACACCAGTTGCGACGTTATCCATACATAGTGCAAAATAAGCACGCTACACACAAAAACGTAAACAATAAACAATGCAGCACCAGTTTTGGCTCCGGAGTGGCCGCTGCGTGCTACTGCCGCGCCGCCATTTCCTGTTATCACTTCAAATAGAAATCAGGCTGTAGAGGTTTGGTGCAGGCAGAAAAACAGCTGCAGGGACAATGAAAATACTTTTCTGCTCCAACTTCTCCCAGCATGCTGAGCTAATGGTTAGCTGGTGTTTTTCTCCAAACACTCTCTCACTCTTCTCTCAACGTGTTCACAATAAACTGTGAACAGACACCGAGGAGAGCAGCAGAAGACCTCATTCAGGAGCTAAACTCAACATGAACTGAACTCACAGTAAAGTTAGCTCGGTGCTTACCTTTAGATGAGCCCACAAACCGAGAGAAACTCCGCGATGAAGCTGCAACTCTTTCCAAACACAGGAAACAGATCAGGGAGCAGAGACCCACGTGGTTCACGCTGATCTCAGCTACGATCCAGGAGACAAGGGTGGGCAGATCGATGCAGATATCGATCCAAACGGTGGTAGTGGTTTATGATCGATGCTTTAGTTCGTCCCTCTCCTCTAAATTTAGAACTTTACTCCCTTTGGATGAAAAAGCAGCTCTGTCTGTTTAAACACCGCTTCTTATGCGGCAGACTCACTTTGCTCCGCCCCCTTCTTCTTGCCCTGCTGGGATTTGTTACTGTGCGGTCACGTGACTCAGATGCGCTCGGAAGACGCATTTGGGCTGCAGAGAGAGAGAGAGAGAGAGAGAGGAGCACCATGTGGAGATATTTTACGGTTGTAAATGAAAATGCTAGAAAACAGATGGAAGGCATGTCAGCACCTAAAGCCACAGGAGACCACAACAAGATGTAGAGTTCAGCTTAGTTTTTTCACATCTCAGTTAAATGCTTTGACTGAATTCTCACTGCACAGTCTGTAGTGGAGATATCAAAGATAGGCACGGCTGTGGCACTGATTCAGTCTTTGAGCACTACGGTCACCCCGGTGTGTCGGCCAGAACACCACTTAAGGCCAAATTGCCCAGAGCACGAAAGAAGGAGAGAGCTTAAGGTTCCGTTTGAGGCACTTTATTGTCACCGCTTAATTTCTGGGGCTGTAACACAGCGGGTGTACATAAGTGTGTGTCTGGGTGTGTGTGTGTGTGTGTGGTTTCCTACAAAGGAAATAAACAAGGGAAATAACAATAAATAAAGAGAATGGAAAAGTCAAATACTCAAATATAAACATAATACAACATAGTTAACATAATCAAATATAAAGATCAGAAAAATATAATACACTTCAAACTGCTCACACTATGCAACTAAATAGCATTAGTGCGAGGTCAAGCAACCGTCAGTACATGTGAACTACTTCCGGTAGTTATACAAAATAAAAGCGTCCCCCATTATATTCCGCTATAATGCTCCCATTGTGAAGGGCAAGCGGGACGCCATACTTCCGGTTATACTACGTTTGCTATTTTATTAATCCACGTACCTAATTGTTCGCTACAAACTCCGCTACTTCAAAGTAAACAATCACAAGCATCACATACAACATATAGAGAAGGTCTGATAACACAGGAATGACATTATGGACATACGAGCGACCGTACATGCGTCAACAAGCTAAACCGGGGCCAAGCTAACAACATAAGTTAGCATATGAAATGAGGGTGAACTCACGCGTTGCATGCGTGGCCTACCGCTCCAACTATGGACTACATTAGCTCCTAAATGGTAACATACTACAGTACTGACACAACAAAGGCAAAATACGACACAGGTCACTACTTACTTGTCATTTACGCACACCTAACATGCCCCAGGAATCAGTGCACCCCCTCCGGACCAACACTGCTCAGCCGCCATTAAACTGCCCACCTTACTAACCGGATGATGTCACTAGAAGGTGGGCTGGCCCAAACTGACAGAAGATGGAACATTACATGAACTTATATAAACTTATAAACACCAGTAAAACTATTATATGAACTTTGGGCAGGGATAGCTCAGTAGGTAGAGTGGTTGCCCCATGATCGGAAGGTCGATTCCCCTTAACAGCTACCCTGAGGTACCCCTGAGCAAGGTACCGTCCCTACACACTGCTCCCCGGGCGCCCAATGGCTGCCCACTGCTTCACTGAGTGAATGGGTTAAATGCAGAGAGCAATTTCCCCACGGGGCTCAATAAAGTACAATAATGTACACACTTTCTTCTTCTTCTTGGGGCCTTTTATACACAGTCTGTCAAGTAAAATATTCACAGTCTTGGAGTAATATTCGACTCTTCTTTGGGCCTTGACTCTCATGTAAAATATTTTTCTCGTTCCTGTTTCTATCATTTAAGAAACATCTCTAAACTGCGACATGTGGTTTCCTCAGCTGAACTGGAAAAACTCATTCATGCATTTGTGTCATCACACTTAGATTACTGTAATTCCCTGTTTACTAGCTTGGATAAATCATCTCTCTGTCGCCTCCAGGCAATACAAAACAAAGCAGCCAGACAACTAACTCGCTCTACCAAGCGTGTTCACATCACTCCCATCTTATATTCTTTACATTGGCTCCCAATACAGTTTAGAATTTGCTTTAAAATTCTTGTTTTAACATACAGAGCACTAAATGGCCAGGCCCCAGATTATTTATCCAAGCTTCTTATAAAATACACTGCTGCTAGTCATCTCCGCTCACAGACTCAGAGTCTGTTAGTTGTTCCCCGTACACGACTGAAGACAAAAGGGGACAGCCTTTCGGTCAGTTGCACCAAGCCTGTAGAACAGTTTACCACATCAATTACGTTTGCTTGACTCTGTGGATTCTTTTAAAAAACAGTTAAAATCTTTTCTGTTCAAACAAGCCTTTTGTTGATCTACATATTTTATTTAATTTTTTTTACATTATTTACATTTGATCTTTTACATTGTATATAATGTCTATTGTTTTTATTGTTTATTTTAATATTTGTGTACAGAGGGGAAAAAAAGTTACCGGGCCACTGAGGAAATGCCCGATGGCCATTCCAGCATTGGTTGTGCCAACAGTTAACCCTTCACGTGCAAACTGTGGCACGCGTGCCTAGGGTTGCTGACCCCTGATGTAGATGCTAAAAATGACAGCCTCAACATGATCAAACTATCTCTAATAATCAGCTATGTACCACAGGCCTTCAAGGTGGCTGTAGTTAAATCTTTACTCAAAAAGCCATCTGTAGATCCAGCAGTCTTAGCTAATTATAGGCCAATCTCCAACCTTCCTTTCATATCAAAAATCCTTGAAAGAGTAGTTGTCAAACAGCTAACAGATCATCTGCAGAAGAATGGCTTATTTGAAGAGTTTCAGTCAGGTTTCAACAGCTTTAGTGAAGGCTACAAATGATCTTCTTATGGCCTCTGACAGTGGACTCATCTCTGTGCTTGTCCTGCTAGACCTCAGTGCAGCATTCGATACTATTGACCATAATATCCTATTAGAGCGATTAGAACATGCTGTAGGTATTACAGGTACTGCACTGCAGTGGTTTGTATCATATCTATCTAATAGACTCCAGTTTGTGCATGTAAATGGAGAGTCCTCTTCACACACTGAGGTCAATTATGGAGTTCCACAGGGTTCAGTGCTAGGACCAATTCTGTTTACATTATACATGCTTCCCTTAGGCAGTATCATTAGAAGACATAGCATACATTTTCACTGCTATGCAGATGACACCCAGCTCTATCTGTCCATGAAGCCAGATAACACACACCAATTAGTTAAACTGCAGGAATGTCTTAAAGACATAAAGACCTGGATGGCCGCTAACTTTCTGCTTCTTAATTCAGATAAAACTGAGGTTATTGTACTCGGCCCTGAAAATCTTAGAAATATGGTATCTAACCAGATTCTTACTCTGGATGGCATTACCTTGGCCTCCAGTAACGCTGTGAGGAACCTTGGAGTCATTTTTGACCAGGACATGTCCTTCAACACACTTATTAAACAAATATGTAAGACTGCTTTCTTCCATTTGCGCAACATCTCTAAAGTTAGAAATATCCTGTCTCAGAGTGACGCTGAAAAACTAGTTCATGCATTTATTACTTCCAGGCTGGACGACTGTAATTCATTATTATCAGGATGTCCAAAAAACTCGCTGAAAAGCCTTCAGCTAATCCAAAACGCTGCAGCAAGAGTCCTGACAGGGACTAGAAAGAGAGAGCAGATTTCTTCTGTATTGTCTTCCCTTCATTAGCTTCCTGTTAAATCCAGAATTGAATTCAAAATCCTGCTCCTCACATACAAGGTCTCAAATAATCAGGCCCCATCTTATCTTAATGACCTTGTAGTACCATATCACCCTATTAGAGCACTTCGCTCTCGTTCTGCAGGCCTACTTGTTGTTCCTAGAGTATTTAAAAGTAGAATGGGAGGCAGAGCCTTCAGTTTTCAGGCCCCTCTTCTGTGGAACCAGCTTCCAGTTTGGATTCGGGGGACAGACACTATCTCTACTTTTAAGATTAGGCTTAAAACTTTCCTTTTTGATAAAGCATATGGTTAGGGCTGGACCAGGTGACCCTGAATCCTCCCTTAGTTATGCTGCAATAGACGTAGGCTGCCGGGGGTTTCCCATGATGCATTGAGTATTTCTTCCTCAGTCATCTTTCTCACTCACTATGTATTAACAGACCTCTTTGCATTGAATCATATCTGTTATTAACCTCTGTCTCTCTTCCACAGCATGTCTTTATCCTGTCTTCCTTCTCTCACCCCAACCGGTCACAGCAGATGGCCCCGCCCCTCCCTGAGCCTGGTTCTGCCGGAAGTTTCTTCCTGTTAAAAGGGAGTTTTTCCTTCCCACTGTTGCCAAAGTGCTGCTCATAGGGGGTCATATGATTGTTGAAGCACCTTGAGGCGACTTTTGTTGTGATTTGGCGCTATATAAATAAAATTGAATTGAATTGAACTATATGCCTTTTTGAGCATTGCTATCTGTCAGGGAATTCCTTTCTTCTTCTTTTTTGCCTGTCCCATTTGGTTCTTTAGCCGTCAGAATTGTTGTCTGAAGACCTACAAGGATACCCAATGGATTTACTTTGCCAAATGGGTCATCATGGCATGGCCGTATTGGTCCATTTGATCGACTTTTGTTTTTATTATTTATTTTATTTTATTTTCAGTTGTTACACACGGGACAGACATGAGTGAGGGATAGGAAAGGGAGAAAGAAAGAGGAAGGAAAAGAAAAATAGAAGGGGAGAGGGACAGTGAGAAAGGGGAAAAAAATCTCCTGGATCACCTGTTGAGAGAAAAAGAATAGAAAACAAGCAATAAAAAGCCAAAGCAACATACTAAACACAACACATTATTCTAGCATCGCATTAATCTAGCTAAGTGTAAACAGCAGTAAACACTAAATATTGAATGTTGTTGTGCAGCACGCAGGACAGACAGCGCACAATGTGCTTTGACGTAGCAGCCAAGAAAGGTGTGATTTAAGTCTATGAACAGTGAACACCCATGTGCACACCTGTGTGGATCAGCGCGCTTATATTCAAATGGTTTCCCCATGTAATGGTCTGCAAGAGGATGTAGAGAGCCATAGCCCTGTCCCCCAGGGCATGAAGTAGGCATGGAGGAGATCCAGGCCCCAGACATCCAGAGGCCCCAGAGTGCGAGAGCCCAAGGAGGACCACTGGAGGGCATCCGTGCCACCCTCATGGGAAGGGCTGAGGATCCCCAGACGAGGGGTCACCCAGTAGCCATCGAGCAGAAGCTAGAGGGGGCTGCACCGGCGTGCCCGCCGGCTCTGCCGGCAGCCAGCTGTGCCAGAGTGAACCGAGCCGCAGGCCCAGAGGCCGGAGGCCCGAGGGCCCCCCCGCACCCCGGAGGAAGCCTGACCGAGCAACAGGCGCCAGGCCCCGGGGTCATATGATTGTTGAAGCACCTTGAGGCGACTTTTGTTGTGATTTGACGCTATATAAATAAAATTGAATTGAATTGAACTATATGCCTTTTTGAGCATTGCTATCTGTCAGGGAATTTCTAAGAATCTCCCAACAGTTCTTCAGCTGAGACACCTGAGTTAGAAAACACAAACACTGCAGTTGTCTTTACTCCCGAGGGCAGCCAGAGCGCTCGTACTCGCAGAGAGACGCTCACGGATTCGTGCTCTGTCACTGTCTGCGTTCTTTATTTATACAAGCTGGTTACACGTGTGTACAAAGATAACAAAGTTATTCCAAGAACTCAGAGCTGAGGTTCCCCTTTTCTGCATCTGTATGTTCTCAGAACACAGGAAGCTGTTAGTTGCTAAATAAGTTTATCACCACTGTAGCTGCCTCCACCAGTGTGTGAATGTGAGAGTGAATGAATAGTGGCATTGTAAAGCGCTTTGGGTGCCTTGAAAAGCGCTATATAAATCCAATCCATTATTATTATTATTATTATTATTATTATTAAAAGTTGTTATATGAAAAGTCACGTAGACATGAGGTTTGCTTAACTATCCTTACAAGAGCACATTTCATAAAACTGATCACATTATGTATAATTGACTCTTAACACTATCAAATCTACATTAGTGTCCGACACCACTGTAATTGTCATCTTTATATAGTGTCTTATTTGTAAGTATCAATAGAAATCCTGCGATCTTTTCCAGATCGTATTTTTTTTTCAATGTATCAACACTAATTAAATTCCCATCTTTAATCCGCCTATCAAATGTAGGTAATCCTTCAGCAGACCAGCTTTTAAGACTTGAGTCCAATTTATTTGGGGTAAATCTCCCTTTTGACAAGAAAGCAGAACTCTTGCAGAACCAGGCTCAGGAAGGGGAGGCCATGTGCCACAACCGGGTAGAATGAGAGAAGGAAGACAGGATAACAGACATGCTGTGGAAAAGAACAAGAGATTAATAACAAGTATGATTCAATGCAGAGAGGTCTATTAACACATAGTGAGTGAGAAAGATGACTGAGGAAGAAATACTCAATACATCATGGGAAACCCTGGCAGCCTACACCTATTGCAGCATAAATAAGGGAGGGTTCAGAGTCACCTGAACCAGCTCTAACTATATGACTTAGTAAAAGGGAAAGCTTTACTTTTGTTGTGATTTGGCGCTATATAGATAAAAATTGAATTGAATTGGTTCTTTAGTAGGTCTAGAGGGGTTAAACTGCGTCCTCACATCTGCTTCATGAATATGAAGGGCTGTAGTGGGAGAAGGTGGTTTGAAATCCTCAAGGTTGTGAAGTGAGGAGGGGGCTCCTGTGGGTGAAGTCTTTGATAGCATCGATGGCTCTGTTGTGGGGGGAGCGGGGAAGGTGGGGGGATGATGGACCAAAGTGTCTCTATTGAGGTGTGAAAGCTGCTTGATGGATCATCAAACCGACAGTAAAAGTCGTTGTGGGTGTTGGCCAACAGCAAGTCATCAGTGGGGTGGGGTTGTGTGCTTCCTGAAGTGAAAATCTGGCATTTAAAGATGAATGGGAAAACTCGCTCACAGCTGACTAATGAACATTTGCATGCATGCTTAAGAACTGCATTGACCCCATTTCACACAAGCTTTAAAATTCTGCCTGCACATATCAGACGTGTAGTCATCTGTGTCCATATTTTCTCCAGCATACGGGGGATTCCTATCATAATAAATCTTTTGGTAAGAGGTGATAAAGAACCTAATCAAAATTTTCCATCCAAATTCCCTCCATCTTTGTGAGGTAGTGCATTTCCATTGTGCTTTCCACATTTGAGTCCATTCATCCTGTGTTGTGCACACTCCTCCCTCCTTCTCCCATAATGTCTTATTTGTAAAAATGTATACAAAGAGGAAATGTGTTTTTTGTTGACTTCGCCACTATATGCCTTTTTGAGCGTTGCTATCAAATCTACATTAGTGTCCGACGCCACTCTCATCGTCGTCTTTAGTTCCTTATTTGCAAGTATCGGCATGAATCCTGTCTTTCCAGATTGTATTTTTGTTTCAATGTATCAACACTAATTAAATTCCCATCTTTAATCAGACTATCAAATGTAGGTAATCCTTTAGCAGACCAACTTTCAAGACGTGAGTCCAATTTATTTGGGGTAACGTCACAGACATAAGCATATCCTTTAAATAATGCCAAGTCTTGTTCTAGCTTAAATTCAAAAATATATATTGTTAATTAAATGTTAAATAAAAGCTAGAAAAGGTTGCATTTCCTGCGAAAATGCAGTGTAGTGGAATCTGATGAAAACGGCAGGAAAATCACCCTTTTAAAAGGACAGCCGAAGCTGCACAAAACACCTACAAACTTATCTCACTACAACGTGGTGCCGAAAATATGACTCGCAGCTCCAGCACGACACAGCTGCTGACATCCAGCTAGCCACAGCTAAAAAGATATTTAGAGAAAACGTACCATTTCCTCAGGTTACACGAGTTGAGTTTTTTCACGCTGAAAAGTTGGTTTGTTTTGGCTCTCACCGAAGACACCGACACTGCGGACATAGCTGTTCCTTTCTGCTGCTTTTAAACGAAACATTCTTTGCATGTGAGGAAAATGCTGTTCATCCTCTTCAGCTCTAGCGTAGACTCTGCAATGTTTTCATGTTTCTTCTTTCCATGTGTCGCTACTTTGAAACGCTTGGGCCGCTCTGCCCACCACAGCTTCAAACTGGTCATGTGACTGCATGGCCACATCTCATTGGTAAAAAAAGTTACCAGAAACTCCACTGACGTCATGTTATCTAATGTGTTAAACTAATTATTTTTTTAAAAAGTAACGAGTCGAATTTTGCAAATGTAGCGGAGTAAAAGTACCGTTTCTTCTTCACAAATGTACTCAAGTAAAAGTAAAAAGTATCGTGCAAAAAAGATACTTTAAAAGTGCATTTTTTTCAAAAACTTACTCAAGTAAATGTAATGGAGTAAATGTAACTCGTTACTACTGTTACCTGATTCGTATTTTGAGGAAAGACAACGACTGCAGAGTCCCAGTTCGGTGCGCCAAAACAAGGATTTTATTGAAACGTATATGGGGAGAAGTAGAGCACGATCACTCAAACAGCGGCGATCTTCCCCGAACAATACTTGGGGTGTGATACTTATAGACATGATGACCATGGTGACATGCGTCACTGCAGATGAAAAACAACATGCATGTTCCAGTAATTCTATCTCAGGAGGTATTCAAAAAAGAACAGTTCCTTCCGATGTTCCTCCACCTAACAGATGCATCCTGTCATTACACTCTTACACTGGACTAATCAGAACTAAACTGTCACGTATACAGGTACACAGCCTTTGCAATCAGTTCCCTCAGGCAGACTATGTGTCTGTGTTGTGACCTTAGCGCCTGACCCCCCTCTACGTCCTCTGTTACCAGGCAAACTTCAATGCAGGAGGCTGCTGAATGCACACAGGCAATATGCAGTAAATTATACGATAAACATGTAGGCAACCTTTCAATAGCTGAACTTTGCTCCATTGATCGGCCAGACATCGCGCTGCCCGTAGCTTCAAACCATTAATTAACTTGACCGAGCTTCAACCCTTTAATTATGCAATATGTGTATAACATGATTACAGTTGCACCTGCAATGAAAGATTATGTGCTTATGCCAACCCGTGAAATACAGACTTTAATATAACCTCACCAGTTTCAATAAATGTGTCAATGAAAGATTACAATGATAAATCATAAATGATACAACAGTAATATTGATTATGAATATAAAATAATATTTCATCTCGACATTACCCACCTCTGTCCAAGAGTGAATGTTAGAACAAGTTCAGAATCAGCAACTGACCTCACAATAGTGTCAGACTCATTGGCAGGTATTTGTTCATGGCAGGTACTGACCGTAGGTAAAGACCGCTATCCTATGACTGAGATAGAGCTGAATGTAGAGAAACATGACAAAGGGGGTGTTTAGAAGTGGTGTTGCAGTACTGCTGATTGGTAAACATTTAGATTAGTCAGTGACCAGGAAATACAAAAGATTGATATAAATGTTGAGGTTGCTGATTAAATTCTTCTACTTGTAATGCAGTCTCAGAGGTCTTAAGATCAAGCTTTTATATTTGAGGCAATTAGCCAAAATAAAGCCCATCTTATCCATCCATCCATCCATCCATCTTCATCCGCTTATCCGAGGTCGGGTCGCGGGGGTAGCAGCCTAAGCAAAGAGGTCCAGACCTCCCTCTCCCCAGCCACCTCCTCCAGCTTGTCCGGGGGAATACCAAGGCGTTCCCAGGCCAGCCGAGAGATATAATCTCTCCAGCGTGTCCTGGGTCTGCCCCGGGGCCTCCTCCCGGTGGGAGCCCATCTTATCAAAGGAGTGTTATGAGACAGCAATACATGCCTTTGTTACATCTAGGCTGGAATATTGTAACACACTTTATTGTGGGGTTAGTGATGCATCCGTTGTTGTGGAATAATCTGTCCTTGCACGTTAGGCAGGTCTTTTTTCTTTCTGAGTTTAAAACTTATCTGAAAACATACTGATTTGCTGAAGCCTTTGGCACTATTTTAAGGGGTTGACTCAACTTTCTTTAAAAACATTTTTAATGAAATTATTTTATTTTGTTTATTTGTTTATTTGTTTAAATCTACCTGTATATATACAGTACTTTTTAAAGCGCTATATAAACGTTAACATAAAACCATATAAATAAAGCTGGTACGGTCAGATGGATGGAATAAACGAGGAGTATGGATGTCCAATCTTGAGGAATGGAGAGGCAAGAGCAGTAAAAAATGAGGAGAAGGCAAATGTGTTGGCAAAAACGTTTGTTAAAATCCACAGTTCAGGCAATATTAGTGAAGAAGGGTGAAGAGGAAGAGTAATGCCATCATAGAGAATAGGGCTTTACTGAAACAGATAGAAGATACGGATGATTTATTAAATCACTTTAAAAAAGAGGTTGTGGTTGTGCCCATACATGAACCAGGAAAGGATGATACAAATCCAGGAAATTACAGTCTCATAGCTTTAACATCTGAGTTGGGAGTTCGCCTTGTAATCGGAAGGTTGCCGGTTCGAGCCCCGGCTTGGACAGTCTCGGTCGTTGTGTCCTTGGGCAAGACACTTCACCCGTTGCCTACTGGTGGTGGTCAGAGGGCCCGGTGGCGCCAGTGTCCGGCAGCCTCGCCTCTGTCAGTGCTCCTCAGGGTGGCTGTGGCTACAATGTAGCTGCCATCACCAGTGTGTGAATGGGTGGATGACTGGATATGTAAAATGCTTTGGGGTCCTTAGGGACTAGTAAAGCGCTATATAAACACAGGCCATTTACCATTTATCTTTAAAATTACGGAGCGAATAATAAATGACAAATTAATGTGTTATATAGAAAATAAAGGATACATATCTAAACATCAAAGCAGTTTCAGAAGAGGGAGAAATACAATGGATAAAGAAAGGAGGGGACGATGCTTGTAATCAAATTCAAAGGAGAGCAGGAGAAATGAGGAGCACAGTTTGGAGTAGGCGCGAGGAGGTGGTCATTTCTAGAATAAGGTTTGGACATACTGGTTTGAACACAAAACTATTCATGACAGGGAAACATGATGCAGGGAAACGTGATCACTGCAGAGAAGGGTGAACTATAGAACGTGTTAGATTACACTGTCAGAAATATCAGGTGGAGAGAAGGTAACTGATCCAAAACCTCAGTAACATAAAAATTAAACTGGATCTTATTGATTTACTGCAAAAGGACTCAAGACGTGAGTGTTATCAGGCCCTATTCCACTTTTTAAAAGAGAGTAAACATTTGAGGAGGGCTTGAGGGTCGACACTCCATACCAGTTGGTGGCAGTAACGCACCATTTTATTGTTTGCAAACCGCCAATAAAACTTAAGAAGAAGAAGAAGAAGCAGGGGAGGAGACGAAGAAGAAGAGGTGTGCGTACTGTGCTCTTTGCTGTGTCTTGCCACAGTTTTAAAAGTAGGGCACTTGTTGAAGAACCCGTATCAAAGTATTGTGGCGACGCCTCGTGTTTAATGTAATTGATGAACGGCGTGTTGTGAGGTGTGTATTGCAGCTGCGAAGACGAACGTTCGTTCTCCTGTTATGCTGGGCTCACACTGTGCGATTTTTGGCCCATTTTGAGCCAGTTTTTGAGTCGTGCGACCGTTTTGTCGATCGGCCCGGTTTTGGCCTTCATCGTGCGTCGTGTAGTATACGTGGGGGTAACGAGAAGCGATTAACACCTCCGAGCAGCTCCCGAACATAAATCGCTTGCTCGGGAGGGTGTCACCGCAGCTTCTCGCACTGCGCACGCGCAAACACAACCGGGAAAATAGTTGGATTTACATTGCTGCTCAAACACAGCTGATCATGTTTTTCATTAGCAATTTAGCAAAGTTGATGGTGGTGGTGTGTCTGTGTGAGTGAAAGGCAGAGAGGGAGAGCGAGCGACAGAATTTCTGTTATAACCTTCATTTTATGGACGCACAGTGTGAGCACTCGGGTCGCATCAGAGCATCGGGCCGTATAGTGTGAGACCCTGCATCGTGACCTACGAACTTCTAACCCCTGCGAGTCAATCGTGCAGTTCGAGCAGAAGCTGAATAATGCGACTGAAAAAATCGCACAGCGTCTGCCCAGCTTTAGGTTACAGCTGGTAGGAAGGTGCGTTCAGTGTGTCTTTGTAAATTTAAGTTTCCATGTCAAACGACATGAAACAGTTATTTCTGGATGCGCAATTGTTCGCTGAGTTTGGTAACAATGTGTTTTTGTAAACAGCGTGATGATTTAAGTCATTTAATCTTTACAGAACATGTGAGCGAGGCTAATAGAGCAATATTTTTATGTTTAGTAAACTGACGTTTCTAAATGTTACTGCTTTTATTTCATTAGTTCTGACGAGGACAGCTGAGTGATGTTGTTGGTGAGCTTGGATTAAATCATCTCTAAACAAAGAACTTGTCCTCGTGGTGACTGACTTGGGGAGTGGAGGTCAGTGAGCCCATTGTCTCTGCTGGTCCGACTCCAACTACAAAGCCGGCCCGCTCGCCCCCTCCTGAGTCTGAGAGGAGATCCAGAGTAAGTCAGTTATAACTACACTGGTTGCTTAACTTCATCATTTTCTACAGGGTCTCTCTCTCTTAGCTCATTTTGGTTTGATTTCTGCCTTCTGTTTAGCCTCTCTGTTTGTCTGCCTCAGGAACTTAATGGTTTATCATTTGAGTTAAACTCTCTGTTTCCCTTCATATGAAGGTGATGTCTGTGGAGTGATCATGACTTCATTAAAAATCCTCTGTTTTCCTTTTCCACTTTTCTTTCATATTCTTTCTGACGTCTTTTCTTGTGTAAGCTGCTAACTCTTGTGATGGAGATTTCTTTATTTTATGTGTTGATCATATGTTTTGACAATATCACTTTAGTAATATCTATAGTACATTTTGTGTGACTTTGTTCTACATATAGGAAAACATCAAATATGTTATTCCACACACAGATGGGTATTGTGAGTGAGTTGGACTGACACTCCCAGGCACCATGAGACATTAGGCAGATAGTGAGACTCCTCCTTATCTCCAGGGAGGAGGTGTTGAGATGAAAATATTTGATGTGCCTCAATTCTATGCTGTATATTAACTAAAATGCCATATAACCATATAGTGTAGTATTAAGTGGACATGGCCATGAAAAATAAAGACATTAGATTACGTGTCCTTGGGGGGTGGAAAGCTGTAGACTCTCACCCACGCTTGCCTGTGAAAAAGTAGATAACAGGGGACCATCTTCTAGTGGAGATGCATTATAACTCACCTGTGCATTATAATAAAAGGTGTTGATTGCAGCTGACAGTGTCTGCAGACTTTGATAACTGTGTGTCACCCTCGTGGTTAATCAGAGGCAAATCTGAGCCAGTGTGGATTTGGTTGTACAGCTCTCACACATACAACCTGAACTGCACATTGTAAGTGTGATGTTCTTCAGATTTGAACAAAGTAAAAACTAAAAAACTTTTTATTCACAAGTTGAACTTTTACTACTTTTATCCCCAAAATGAGCTCACTTCAAATATTTACCACAGCATAGCGTCCCCAGGCACCTGAGACGTTTGGCAGATGGTGAAACTGTTTATCTTTGTGAGGTAAGAGGGGGCACTTGTGGATGAGCTGAAGATATAGACCTGATGTCACTGTTTGGGTTCTTTGTCATTACAGGAGAAAGAAGTGAAAGCAGGCCCAAACCTCAGCACATGGATGACATCAACCAAAAACATCCAGCACCAGAAAGTAAAGATGAGCCAGCGGCGATCCCTGTGGAAAAGACTTTTCCTGCTATGAAGCAGATCAGAAGACGCAAGCACGCCAACAGGGAGGACAGAAGCTTGAGCTGTGATCAGTGTGGAAAGACCTTTACTCAGAGATGCAACTTAAAATCACATCAGCTGATCCACACCGGTGTGAAACCATTCAGCTGTGATCAATGTGGGAAGACCTTTACTCTAAGATGGAGCTTAAAATTACATCAGGTCATCCACACTGGATTTAAAGCTTTCAACTGTGATCAGTGTGAAAAGTCTTTTACTCTGAGATGCACCTTAAAAAGACATCAGCTGATCCACACCGGTGTGAAGCCATTCAGCTGTGATCAATGTGGAAAGACCTTTAGTCTAAGATGCAACTTAAAAAAACATCAGCTACTCCACACCGGTGTGAAACCATTCAGCTGTGATCAGTGTGGGATGTCTTTTACTCGAAAAGGTCACTTAAAGAGACATTATATGATCCATGTTGGAGGTAAATCATTTATCTGTGATCTGTGTGGAAAGGCTTTTATGGATAGAGATCACTTAGAGAGACATCAGGGCATCCACAGTGAAGTTAAACCTTTCACCTGTGATCAGTGTGGAAATTCTTTTACTCAGAAGAGCAACTTAAAAGCACATCAGCTCATCCACAGTGGATATAAACCGTTTGGCTGTGATCAGTGTGGAAAGGCTTTTACTCAGAAGAGCAACTTAAAAGCACATCAGCTCATCCACAGTGGATATAAACCGTTTGGCTGTGATCAGTGTGGAAAGGCTTTTACGTCTATGACTGGCTTAAACTCACATCAGCTCATCCACTCTCGAGTTAAATCATTTGTATGTGGTGACTGTGGAAAGGCTTTTACTCGTATGACTAGCTTAAAATCACATCAGCGCACCCACTCTCGAGTTAAATCATTTGTATGTGATCAGTGTGGAAAGTCTTTCATCCATTACAAAAGTCTATTGAGCCATCAAAAGACCCACAAAGTGTCCTCCTGTGAGAAAAGTGGCAGACCAATGGGACATTACCCTGACGGGGTTCATTTGAACACAGTGGGAGAAACGGGGGTTCTGAACAAAAGTTCTTCTGGATGCTGCGTCAAACTTAAAAAGCTTGAGATCAGGCTTCACAGAATTCAGCTTTAATTTCCTGGAATAGTCAGAGCTTCACTGTCTTTGTAGATCTAGTGAAAACATGAAAGGGTGCAAAAAGAGGCACTGTGGTACTGCATGATGAAGTCAGAAGTGACAGAGAAGTATGTGAGCGTGGTTCAGGACATGTTTGTGTGGTAGCAGTGACTACCACACATACTTGGGTTGAAGGTGGGGGGAGGATTACATCAATTCTGAGCCCCTTCTTCCTTTTTCAAAGAGAGGGCAATACTCAGGAAAGGATGATGACAATAGAGCTGCAAGACAGGATGGAAAGAAAAAGAGTTTAAGAGAAGATCATGAATGTTGTGAAGCGATCGAGCCGCGATTACAAAATCTTAGCTTATGGAGTTAGTTATCCCAACACAAGTTTAGCGAGTTTAACTTCACTGGCTGTGTCCACAAACAGCATGCAGAGCAAACATTACTCCCATCATCTGATCACAAGAAAAGCAAAATGTCAGAAGAGTTCACCTTCTGGGTCAAACTGTCAGACCTGTTACTGTTTATTTGGCTGTTCATTGTGAGGTAATTATCAGTGTCAGTGCTGCGCCACTTCTGTTGTAACTCACAGGAAATGTGTTTTAAATGGGCTCTATTGTCACAAAACACGGAGTGTACAGGTAACAGAACCCCAAAAGCATACTCAGTACACCCAAGCTCAGAACTATGTACAAGTTTTATATAACTGAGGAATCTTCTAACACAGCTAAGGGAACCAAAATTATATTTAAATGTTCATTTGCTATTTCATCTAGGGTTTGAGAGTAACGAAATTTCTATTCTCTGTATGTCCTGTACATGTGGCAGAATTGACAAATAAAGTTGACTTTGACTTTGAAAAAGTAAGGCTCATGCCGCGGGGGACGAGGTAATGTGTAAAGTTTTCAGTGGTCTGTGTTTTCTTACAGGATGTGAGTGTGTTTTGCTCCATGAAGAGACAAACCTACATTCTTTTTTTTATGTTGCAATAAAAATATTTTTATTGCAAGTCATAAATGTGTGTCATTTATGATAAAACTGACTTGCTGTCCCTTTGTTCCCGTGTACCTAAGTAATTGTGGGTAATATCTTGATGCATGCTCAATCATCCAGGTAAGGAAATCCCAGAAGTTGATTCTGTTCATCTGTGCATAATGAATAATGAAGGCTGTTAATCATTAGCATGCAAAGTGTCATGACCACTGATCACTAAATCCACTATTGGAGTGTACATTGTCCGCTCCATTCATAGCTGAATGCATCACATTTACTTCTCCACATTTTGTACCAGAAGACTTACCAGCCTTTAGAAGACAGTGGTCCCGAACCAGAAATGGTAAAGTCGCTGTGTATAAGAGCAAGGATATTTTATACAGTGGCTTGCAAAAGTATTCGGCCCCCTTGAACTTTTCCACATCTTGTCACATTACAGCCACAAACATGAATCAATTTGATTGGAATCCCCCTTCCCCCGCCACACACACATAAAACATATTAACATAAAAGTGTTGTCGGAACCATACTGAATTTCCCCAAAAACACACACACACACATATGAAGAGAGAGAGAGTATACATAGTATGCAAACGGCTACCAAACAGCCATCATAATTCGTCATACAATGAGAACAGGACAAATCAACAACTGACACTGACTAATTAATATTAAAATCTGTAACATAACATATTGTTTTGAGTTTAGTCCGTTACTGTTACTATTTTTACCATTTCTTCTTGGAGCAACTGTAACCCACATTATTTACTTAGGGATTAATAAAGTATTCTGACTCTGATTGTTTCAGGATGAGCTGCCATTATCCAATCACACGTCTGCTTACCTGTAGCTCGTTTCTCCTCCTCTTCTTTTGAATGAATGAATGAATGAATGCTTTATTGGCCATATGCAGGTTGCCCCACAGAGGAATAGGACCCCCCCCCCCGACTTACACACACAACAACAAGACAACACAAGGGAATACAGTCGGAGACCGGCAGCGTTGAGAGAATAACACTGAAAAAATTACACAACATTGGGAAAAGTACAAGAGGAAAAAAAGAGACCTCTTCACACGCTGGGCAACCTATGGGAGGACAGCATGAGAACAGGAAACAAAAAAACTCCTCTGCACAGAGAGCACATTAATGTCCACATCACAACATCAGAGCACATGACAAGCCACAGGGGATGGATAGGGGGGTGGGGGGTGATTCGAAGGAACACAGCAGTCGTCCTGCACCATGCTATCATTTCAGCGCGGCACGCAGACCCGCTGCCTTCCCCCGCAGGAACAAGCATCGAAGGCGTTTGGAAGGGAGGGGGATGAGTGCGTGCTTATCAGTGTAAGTGTGTCCAGAGTTCAGCTGAGACAGTGTCCTTCGCTGTATCAGGCTAAGTAAACAGTCCTCCAGCCGATCCTGGTGTCCTTCATGGGATGGGAAGAATAGTCATCACACAGTCGTTATCAGGGAGTTGTTTTGGTGGGCTCCAGCCTTGGGCCTAGCAGCTGGCGCCGTGGTGTCCAAATGTTGAATATTGTTGATTTCTCCTTTATGCGAGCAGCGAATTTAGCACTCTGACACTGGGGCCTCGATTTCCCGTTGGAGCGCTGCGAGCCTCCCCATGATGGTATCGAGCTTCTGTTCCGTGGTGTTGTCATTCTTTTGGTTCTGAGACCCCACAGCTGCAGTGAGCCGTTCCGCGATGTTATCCAACTTTCGCTCAAGGGTGTTATTGTGAGCAGGCCCCTCTCTGATGTATCCCATCATACGCTCAATGGTGTTAGTTTGAGTCTTCACGGCAGCTGTAAGCGTCTCCAAGGTGTTAACCATGCTGCGTTCGGTGTGGGAGGCCGCGCCTCGTCCCATCGCTTCAATTCCAGCGGTCAGCTTAGGGGGAGTTTGAACAGCTGGTTCCGCTCTCTTATTTCTCCGATAAGTCAGGGCCAAGCCAGCTCCGATCAGCAAGAACCCTGTTATCATGGCAAGAACCCTGTTATCACCCTTTTCTATTTTTTCTAAACTGAGCACCTGATGGCTTTGAACTTTTCTTGTCCATCTTACATTGGTTTTAATTTTGCACTCCAGTATGAACACCCATCCCTCAACTCGAGGATCACCACAACATAACCTAACAGACCTACACCTTAGTTCACAGATTCCCTTTGTGTAGGTTTTATTTCTGGGATTTCACACAACCCAGGATTCAAATCATGAATACATAATGGGCTTGGATTTACATCATTATGAATGAAATGTGCTCTATCTGGAAGCAGCCGGCCCCGCCCCTTTCGACAGGTTGTGTGTGAGACTTTAAATCATCAAACTGTAAATTATACATTTTAAATTGTTATTGATCCTTTACCCCGAGTCCTAATGTGTATGTTTATTTTCTTACTCCTCTTATATTTATTGTTTGTTTACTTGCACTGCTGTAACTGGAGCCTCGTCGTCTCGTCTCTCTGGACTGTCTGTAGCGGAGATGACAATAAAGTTTACTTTGACTTCAGCAGCGAGCAGGAGCACCGAGGAAAAACATGGGTGCAAATTATAAGTCTGTATCATGATGTCTGGTGTTTTCGTGTTTGTTGATTTGTTTTTATTTTGTTTTTATTTTGCGAGTCGGTTATTAGATGCTGCTCCAGCCGGTCAGAGAATCCCCCGCAGCCCCGCCCTCTCCTTTCTGTGCCGCAAGCAGCAGGCGCACCTCGCAAACGGAGGGCGCCCTTACTCCCAGCAAATGGGCGATAGAAAAACGATTGGTGCCCATGCCATTCCCAATATGCGCTGGCTGATGTTGGAGCAGCATGAGTACGAGCAATTATTTATTTATTTTTGCCGATGCCCACTAGGGCAACCGCCCGTATCAAAAACCGCTACTGGTTACAGTGATGGTTCATGCACTTCATATAAAAGCAGACCAAACAGATGTGCAGGTGACTTCGGGTCACTTCAGACAGGGTCAGTGAATGTCTCATTCAAAAAAACTGTGGGGAATGAAATGGGATAGTCCTTAATTAATACGTTTAAGCCTCTGGAAATAGGGACTGTGTTTGAAGTAAATTAAACATCTGCACTTGATTGGAAATCCGCTGTGGTTTTGTACAGAGGCTAAACTGGTGTATGTGTTCATAATTTGTAAACTGAAGATAATTAATCTCAGAAATCATGACACAATATGGAGCCCGCATAAGCTGCATTTACTAGCATCAGGAATATCCGTCCTGTAGTAACTCAGTATCAGATCGATACTGTTGCGACTTTCATCCATAAATAAAGCCGCGGCCGGCTGAGTTGGTTGTGTCCCTGTGACGCGCCTCCAATAATCCATATGAGTCGGACTTGTACTTTGCGCATTTATTTTAAGAACAAAACAAAAACAAACGTTTGCGCTTTCAATCAATTTACAAATAGCGCATGGATTAACTGGTGTGCCAAAAAATGACGCTCAACAGAAAAGTTTGCCCACATCCACTCACCCAACACACCTGCATCAGGTAAATAGACTGTGACCACACCCACATGCCATCACCTAAGACGCAGGTAAAGCTATACACCTGTGCCACCGTAACAAATAAGCAAAACATAAACATTGACTTTGGCTCTTACAGATACCAAAGCTGTTACGACTCTGCTAATCACAGTTCAATCAAGTTCACTTCTCCATCCCTGAGGGATCCTCTTGGTCATACCGTATTTTAATAAGAAGAATCGGATTTGATATTCTCCGCATGCTCATTGGACAGGAGCCTGTCAATCACAAATTATTAGCCAATGAGCAAGCCGTTTCACAGCCAGATCCGTGCTTCCAAAGTTACGTGGGTTTTCTATCACCAAGATGGCGACCGCGGAAACGCTCGTCCCGATGCTTTCAAACGGCTTCAGAAAACAGCGCGTGGCGTCACCTGTAGCTACGATCGCACCTGACAACCGCGTGAACCACGTGGGTCTCTGCTCCCTGATCTGTTTCCTGTGTTTGGAAAGAGTTGCAGCTTCATCGCGGAGTTTCTCTCGGTTT